CCAGGCGATCCGGAAGCTCCAGACGATGTTCTCCAACCCACCTGCTCTCTTCACCTGTGCTCACAAGGTGTCATAGCCAGGCCGGGGGACACGGCTGTGAGCAACCAGACCCAGGCCACCTGGGGTGACAGAGGAGGGTTAGCACCTGCCCCCTCCCTGCTCCCTCAGAGCCCCCAGTGGGCCCTCCCGAGCCCTTGGGGCAGCAGTCACCTGCACTGAGCCATAAGGGAACCGAGACCCAGCCCAGGTAGAAGGACCAGGAGAAGGAGGACTGGATCTGGGGGTGTCGAGGTTGGTTCCACCGCTCACCAGTGTAGACCGCCATGGCCACCAGCATAAAGAGGGCTGGGACAAAAGACGAGAAGACTGCTCAGCCCCTCTGCAGGAACTCACAGTGCCCAGTGCCCACGGGCAGCCCAGATTTCTCACCTGCAACAAAAGCTGTGATGGACGAGACAAGGGGCCCGCGGCCCGGTGCGGACAGCGAGGGAATGCAGGACAGGACCAGGAGGCCCACAGACGCCACGCCGCACAGGACAGCCAGAATGTTGAAGGTCTGCGTCACATGGATGTAGCCTGCTCACAGAGGAGACCTCTGAGGGCTGTGCCCTCCGGCTCTTCTCCACTATCCCCCAGACAAGACAGACCACTCCCCCTTACCTGCTACTGACTGCTGATTCCCATCCGGCCAGAGGCCAGAGTGAGCTGAATAGTGGGGCCCAATGGCCACGAACCAGAAATCCGTGCTCAGAGCAACAAGGGCAGAGGTCAGGGCCAGGGACCCCACCAGCAGGGCCACGGACCGACAGGGCTCCATGACTGTGGGCGCTGGGTTTCCGGGTCCCGAAGGATGAAGGGGCTGGTGATCCAGACTCCTGGGTCTCTGAGAGAGGAGGCTGTACGCCCTGACTCCAGGGTCCTCTGCGCTCAAAAAACAAAGCAGCCAGCAAGCAGTAGGGGCCACTCGGGGGCCTGTGCTCCTAAGACCAGGCTGGTTCTGTTTCACCCAGTTCAGTTCCCGGCAGCCGACTCACACAAGTCCTCCCTTCCTGGGTTGTACTGCGAACGTCTCCCTTCCTGGAGGTCCTGGTCTCACCCACAGTGTGTGGTGGGAAGGGTGTCATCAGAGGTTTGGTCGACAGTTCAGAACATGCCTCTCTATCTCAGGTTCTATAGCTGACGCCCTCGGAGCCCTCAACACCAGAGGGGGCTTCCGGAAGAGCTGAGAGAGGCTTGGGGGCTCAGAGGCGGAGGTGGCAAATGAGGCCAAGGTGTGTGTTAAATGGGAGGAGGGATGTGGCCAGAGGGGACAGTTGGGGGATGCGTCATGCTTTCCTGTGGCTGGCTGCTGCAACTTTCCGGTCTGGGGGGGCCCACTCTAGGGTCTCCATGACGTCTGGGGCTGAAGGAGGAAGGAGCTGGAGGCACGGACGCCAGGCCTGGAGGGAGGAAGGGGCGGGTGGGCAGTGGAGGGCTCAGTGTCCTGGATACCCGCTTAGAGCTTATGCTCAGGGCAGGCAGAGGTGGAGAATGACAACTGTAAAAGTCTCTGAGGGGAAGACAAGCCCACATCCTCAGCTGATAAATGAGTTCACAGACAGCTCTGCTCCGAGCGTGGCCTGCTTTCTCATGAAGGTCACAGTACCTGGCGGGGGACAGGGGGTAGCGATGTCGGTGCAGGACCCTCTGGCCTTCCAAGCTTCTTCCTCCCACACCAGCATGGGGTCCTGGGCAGCACCTCACCTGTGAGCAGGTATAAGGTGAAGGTGCCACAGCCCAGGAAGAAGGCCCAGGCAAACCTGACCCCACTGCAGGCAGAACAGCCCTGAAGAGGCCCTCTGTTGTGAAGACAAACTGAGTCAGCTGGAGCAGGGAGAACCAGTGACCCTGTAGGCCAGTCCTCTTCTGTTATTGGAGACTCCAGTTTGCAGGCCCCCATCCTTCACCCAAACTGCTGGAGGGCTTAGAGCAGGAGTGACATGGTTGCCATAAATATTCCTGCAGATGCTGCACAGAGAATGAACTGTAGGGAGGGCGGGGTGAGGGCTGAGCTGGTTTGGAGGCTGCGGCAATAAACCAGGTGGGTGATAGATGACAGTGGCTTGCATTAGGGTGGTGACAGGTGAAGCGAGATGGAGTGAAATTCCAACACGTTTTAAAGGGAGGCCCACACTACTGGCCTATGAGTCAGACGTGGGATGTAACAGAGGGAAAGCAGCCGGCCATGACCCCAGTGTGCAGGGAGTTGTCATTTACTAAGATGGGGGAGGCCGTGGGAGGGACAGGGGTGGGGTGTGAGAAGAACCAGAAGTGTGAGGCTGGAGATCCGTCCTTTCTGGTGGAAACGCCGAGCAGGGCAGTGGAGATAGGAGCTGGTGGTGTAACATCATTATTGCTAGAGTAAGCCCCTGTAAACATGACTGCTGAAACAAGCCTCAGGAAACGTTTCTGCTTAAAGAGGCCGCAGTGAGGCGGCATTAGACAGGGCCTCAACTGCCATTATAATGGGAAGAAGCCGCTATAAACATAGTATTATTGCTATTTGAGGAGTCCCCAATAAATATTATTTCTAGGGAGTCAGCCTCTGTTAATATAACAACCACTAGCATGGGCCGTGGATAAAGACTCTTGGAATTGGTCTTGTAAATAGTCTAATTATTTTGTGATTGGCGTCAGTAAATCTCATGGCAGTGGCGTCAGTTTAATGGATGAGCTAAGAGCGAATGAAGAGAAGGTCACGGTCATGAATAGCGTGTGAAGAGGTGGGGGAAGAAGGTGAGAGGTCAGAGTGTGAAGAGGTGGGGGAAGAAGGTGAGAGGTCAGAGTTCCCGTGTGTCTAGTTGGAGGAGCCCATTGGGGAGGGGAGAGGAGGCTGGAAGGGCCAACTGATGATGGGAGGGGGCAGGGGGGCAGGGAAGCTGCTTTTATTTACCGAGCTCTTCATTTATGCTATTATCCTACTGTGATATTGAGATTTATAATAAGAAATACATATTTTATCTGAGTCATGATTATGAACAGCTCCTAAAACCCCTGGAATCCCCCAAGTCACGAAAGCCATAAAGGTATAAATGGGGTGACTTTTGGACCCGACCTAGGGTTGGGGGAATGGTTGCCAGTGGAGCCAACCACGTGATTAGAGGGTTGGCACTTACAGTCCCAGCCCCTGACCTCTGGAGAGGAGAGAGGAGCTGGAGGTTGATTTCAAACACCAATGGCCAAGAATTTAATCAGTCACACTTGTGTAAAGAAATCTCCTGGGGAACTTCAGGCGTGGTGAACACGTGGAGACGGGGAGTGGTGACCAGAGAGGATATGGAAGCTCCGGGCCCTTCCCCCGCACCTGGTCCTATGTGTCTCTTCCATCTGGCTGTTTCTGAGTTATATACTTTTATAATAAACCGGTGATCTAGTAACATGTTTCTCTGAGTTCTGTGAGCTGCTCTAGCAAATTAATAAAACCCAAAGAGGGGTTTTGGGAAACCTCTGATCTATAGTTGGTCAGATGCACAGGTGACAACCTGGACATGTGATTGGCATCTGAAGCGGGGGTGGGGGGTGGGGGGGTGGAGAGCAGTCTTGTAGGACCGGACGTTTAACCTGTGGGATCTGATGCTATCTCCAGGTAGATAATGTCAGCATTCAATTCATAGCTTGGTGGTGTGAGGGAAAAAAGTACACATTGGAATGGGCGTCAGAGTTGGACCTACAACATCAGTTTCCTAGAAGCCGAATTGCCGCCTGTGTAGGGGTTGTGTGAGTTACCTCTGTCCCCGTGCCTGCACAAACAGCAGGTTGGGTTGCCATCGCACACCCCCAACCCCATCCACCACACTCACCCCCACCCCTCGGGAGTCACACTGTAGTAGTTTCACATCAGTTTAATTAGACTCCAAAACATCGCTCTAATGGGTGTTCCATTTCTCAAACAAACCCCCTGGCAGGTAGAGCCTTGGGTCTTCTCAGCTCCCTCCCACCAGGCCCATCCTTTCTCCTTCCACTGTGGGACTCCACCCAGAGTCCAGAACTGAGCCCCTTCATGTCCCCAGGAACCAGGATTTCAGGCCTCTAAACCCTCCCCCTCCTCTTCAATGACCTCATTTTAACTTTCCAGTGAAGTCTGTGGATGCATCTGGGCTCAGTGGGAAGTGGACAGGCGCCGACATTCATTCATCCGGTAGGCACACATGTAGAAAATTCCTGCGCGAGAAAAGGGTCCAATGGATGCCCCTTCCAACCCCCCTGGGCGTCCACAGGGCCTGGAGTCTGCCTTCTGGCTGGGTGCTAGGGGCCCAGGTGGGACACTCCATCACTTCACCCTCAAGACTGCACCAGCTCATCCCCAGACAGGGCCCTTCCCACCCCCAAGCCCAGGTACCTGCAAAAAAGGTCATGAGCAGGGCCACCCAGGCCAGGATGTAAGACCAGGAAAAGCGCCAGTCCCCGAAACGGCGACCAAGGAAGCTGACGGTGACTCCAGTGTAAATGGCCAAGGCCAGCAGGAGAAAAAAGGCTGGGGAGGCAGAGTAGGGGTGGGAACAGAATAGGGTTGGGCTTGGAGATGGGGTGGGGGT